CCCCAGTCCCTCTCCAGCTCTCCTGGAGCCCTTTTAGGCCCCTTTAGGTCTCTCTGGAGCCTCCTCTCCTCCAGTGAACCCCCCCCCAGCTCTCCCAGCCTGGCTCCAGAGCAGAGGGGCTCCAGCCCTCAGAGCATTTTCATGGACTCTTCTGGACTCTGTCCAGCAGATCCACGTCCTTCCTGTGCTGAGATCCCAGAGCTGGACACAGTTCTCCTGGGACTCCTGCATGGATCTGTGTCCCCAGTGCAGCCTCACAGTGCCAGAGCCCCACGGGACATGTGACACCCACCGTGCTGGTGCTGGAGCACACACAGGGCAGCTGAGATGCTCCTGACCACACCAGCATGGTTTTAACCAACCTGGTTGGGTGCTGAGATGCAGCTGGGACCGATTCCACCCTCCCCCTGCCTGGCTGAGGCTCAGGATGGAGGTGAGGTGTCCCAGCAGCACAGCCAACCTCACAGTGGGTGTCACCTACACCCCAACGGGGCCATCCACGGGCTCTGTTCTGCCTCTGCAGGGATGTCCCTGGGCAGCCCCCTGTCCCACCACGTGGTTCATGCACTGGGGCAGGTCTCAGAAGCCCCAAGCACAGGTCACAGCTCTGCTCCCTTTGCCCCAGCTCTGGAAAGACTCTCCTGCCTCCTTTGCTAAGCTCCTCGCGGGTACGTGTCTGTTACTATAAGCACTTTATAACCTTGTGTTCAGAGCTTAATTTCTCTCCATGTTAGAGCTGCCAAAACCTCCAGTCTTAAGCTGCTATTAAACTCTTTATTATTATTTTTTTTGTTTTTTTGCACTAGATGCACAGCTTTCTTTTTTATCCTTCTTATCCCCAGATCGTTACGCCTGCTCTTCTGGGAGCAGTTTGGTTTTCCCCCCTACACACACCCCCTGTGCTCCCTGCAGCCTGTTCCCCAGGGGCTGTGGGTGTGCTCAGGGCAACTCAACTTCTTCCAGGCAGCAATAAATACCATTAACACAGGGCAAAGCTCTTCGAAGCAGGGTTTGGTGGATTCTCTTGGCCAGGTGGTGAATGCTCACCCAGGCTCGTAATGAGGTGCTGAAAGACCCGCTGGACATCGATCCCCAACCCTCTTTTATTTTTTGCAAGGTCATGCAGCGTGTTTTTCACTTGTTTCCCAGGAGCCCAATCCTCCTGACCCTCCTTTTGACTGATGGAAAGGTGTTGTAGCTGTGCCAGGCCCTGTTTCAGCCCGTGTGGATTGATTTGTTTTTAGTAGCTCCAGGTAACGGGGAGGTTTGTGTCCGTGTAGCTCTCAGGGGAAGGGACTTATATCAGCTCCACCACGCTTGTGAGGGTGATTTACAGCTTTATAAAAGCAAAAAAAAACCCCCACACTTTCAGTGAGCAAAGTCTGGAAGGAAATGTCAGCATGGCCATATATCTCTGACCTGGGCTCGTGCTGCAGTCTTCATCACAGAACCACAGGATCTGCTGAGCTGGGAGGGACCCACAAG